TATAAATATATTTATACATGTATATACATCCAAACAAACACAAACAAACCACTCTCTCTCTCCTTTCTCTCTCCACCCTACCTTCCTCACCACACCTTATCTCACTATCTGCCTACCTAGTACTATGTAGTACTTATACACATTCGCACAAACATCCTAACAATATTCCTTTAATTAAAATCCGGTTTGAAGTTGTCTTCTATTTATAACCATCTCTAAAGTTTAATCATATCTGACTCTCACACGTAACTTAAAAACTAAACGTCTCTCTCTGTTACGCCCCTTTTGCAAGAGGAAATAATTATGCCGTCGCCTTTTGGAGATTCAAGCTCCGCCAATGGTTCCTATACGTGCCCGCTCATCCATTGACAATAAGCGATTCACCGAGAAAAGATCGGGGGGAATCTTTAGGCGGCTGTTTATTGACACTTTCTCTAACTGTCCTTCAGTCAAAGGCAGCCACTGTTTAGCACAGTAAAGAAAATCTGACGGCAAAAGATAAAAGTGCAGATATAAAATTGGCCCCGATAGATATCTGTCAAAGGAAATCAGATAGCATGGGTTTTCTTTAGAGTAAACGTTTGAGGAATAAAGGGTTCTCTTTTACAGCCGATGAGCCTTTTCCTTTCGGAAGCCTATCTAGATCTATGGGGATAATCGATAAAGATCTTTTGTCGGATAGTCGGAAATCTATAGGGGTGAAAGTGCTTTGTCTGACGTGCAAGCGGGCAGGGACAAAAGAGGGGCAAAAACGGGACCTGGAACTACATGATCCTATCTATCAGAGAGATCTTACGGAGATAAATTCCTTTGGTTTTGAGGTCGCTAGAGGTTTGAGGTTTGAAATGTCTACCTATCCGGCGTTTATACTTTAAGTGAAGGGAACATCATGGGCTGTGAAACGGAAACTTTGGTGGATTGCTGACAGATTGTTGTTATTGATTTCACCACACCTCCCCCTTCTCTTCAATCCCCGCCCACCCCTCCTTTCCCGACCATACCCCCAAAATTGTTTTCTCTCTCTCTCCCTCTCTCTC